TGTCTGATGAGGAGGTATAATTAAAGGTCAGTATTATAAACTCAAATGTGATATTTATCACAGCTGAAATGATTAATGAAACATGGAGGTGTATTTGTCTGAATTGTTCTGATGTGCCTTGAAGTAACAAACCCCCTTCGACTTATGTTTTATCCATTTATACGAGACTGCTGTCACACACTAATTCTTTTCACACAAAAACCACGACTACATCAGACCTATACTATATACTCTATTTGCTTTGAGTTTTAAAAATAAAAGAGATTTCAAGTGGTTTCTGCTTCTGGCTTCTGGTAACCTGCTTGAAACCAACCAGTTTTGTTTGCTGGTCTCGAACAGTGGTCTGCAGCTTTGCAGGCGTCTCACCTTGGTGACACACCATCTCCCATCCACCAACCCCTCCATCTCCAAATGACAATGTCAGCTTATGCATTACATTGCTTTAGAAATGCTGATATGATACGTATGAAATGTGCAAATGTAATGTATTTCTGGTTTTCAGAAATGTACAATGCCAACATTTTCTTCTGGAAACTGGGCTGTAATACAATAAGGCTACAATAATGTTTGAGAATAACCTGTGTTTTAAGGAGTAAAAAGTAGTCCCCAACGGGGTTACAGCAATCTTCCAGCAAATTCTACAGAAACCGCTATATAATCCCATTGTTACTCTAGAAGTTTTTTCAACAGCTGATTGTTTCACAATGTTTTCAATATAATTGGGATTTTTAAATCGGGTTAAAATTAATTAATGTAATTTCACACATGTAATATATATGTAACATGAATATTCTCAGCATTAATATTGGTCTCAGTACCGGCTTTCACAACCCAATAATTGGTGGATCACTCTTCCAGTTGATTTGCCTGTTTTATGTTTTGCTCCCGCCTCTGCATACTAAATACATTATCGAACCTCCTCAGGAGAAATAAAACACAGCGTAAAATGCTGGCAGTGTTTTCTCCTTAAGCGGTGAACAAACCCAGCAGATCGTAAAAATGATGCAAGGATGCTCACAGTGAGCAGAATTCGTAGTAAGTGTTTACACACCGCGCTTACACCCAGAGTTAACTGACTACTGGCCATAGCCCAAGCTATTTACATGCACCTTGATAACTTGTGATGGAGTATCCCACGATTCCATGAATAAACCAATTACACAGTGGTCTTCAATCCTGGTCCTGGTTTTCTTTACTACCGTCTACTTAATTGCATCCACTTGCTGTCCCTGGTGTGAATCAGTCCCTGATTAGACCGCTAGAATGAAACCGACAGAGCTCTGGATGCAGAGTGCCTTGGACTGAGAGCCGCTGACCTCAGGTGTCCCATCCCAGACAGAACATGGGCCACTAGCTGCCAGCTGCCTCCTCTCTATTTGACTGAAGTTACTTTTAATAGAGGAGAAAAAAATAGTGAAAGGATGTAAGTAGTGTACATGCTTACACTGAAGTATCTGCTAAAGAAAAGGGGGGGTGGGGGGTAAAAGAGGATATTTACGAAAGAGCACACTAAGCATTTACTGTGTACTAAAATTTAAGGAGCACATCTGGCCCCATTTCAGTGACTACTTTACTGGGACCTCATGTTCAAATCAAGTCAAATGCAGGGTAGCAGAAGTGCTAATATAAATCTACAGCGTGATTGGGCCGCAGTCTGAGCCAGAGTATGTGAGCTATGGAGAGCTTTCTAAAAAAAAGGAGCACTGGTGTTCTCTCACTCCAAGATACTGTTTCACCCCGTCTGCACTGATAGAAATTTTTTTGCATCACTTTATATGAGTGAATTTGACTGAGAGTGAGTTTTTTAAGCCACAAATAACCATCTGAAGTGTTCCCAAATCATGAAGTGTGTCTATACATGTGGCAGTTTTGATCAATACCTATCAGGAACTCTACTTGTTTTACTTCTGGCTCCTGTCTCTGTACATTCAGTAGTCATTGTCACATAAACACCACACTAACACATTACCTGCTTTTAAGAGTGAGTTTGAATCCAAGACAAGTTAATGTGTAAAAATGTTCCCTTATGTGTGTGACGAGGGCTGAGGCTTGGCTGTGGGGCAACTCCAAATCCTGCCAAGTGTTTTATTTTGATAGATAAACAAAGATGTGACATTAACATCTTAAACATTTATCCCCTTGTGCCCAGGTCCGTGAGAGGTGGCATTAAGTGTGATTAATTATGCATGTGAAGTAAGTTAAGTGGAGAAGTGCAGTTGGCAGGTGAAGTCAACTGATAGCAGGCTCGTGCTGCATGCTGTCACATATTTAAGCAAATCTCAACTGAATTTGTGAGTACGATATGTGCTCACTGTCCCTTATGCTGGAGCATGCTGATGTACATTTGACTATATAGAGCTGCTGTGCTGCATTACACTGGGAACGTTTCTAATTTAGAGGAATAAGGTCTGTCTTAATACCGTAGTCACGTGCATATATGTACATATACAGTATCTCACATAAGTGAGTACACCCCTCCCATTTTTGCAAATATTTCATTATATCTTTTCATGGGACAACACTATAGAAATGGCACTTTGATATAACTTAAAGCAGTCAGTGTACAGCTTGTATAGTAGTATAGATTTACCTTCCTCTGAAAATGACTCAAAACACAGCCATCAACATCTAAACAGCTGGCAACATAAGTGAGTACACCCCACAGTGAACATGTCCAAATTGTGCCTAAAGTGTCAATATTTTGTGTGCCAACCATTATTATCTAGCACTGCCTTAACCCTTTTGGGCATGGAATTCACCAGAGCTCACAGGTTGCTTCAGGAATCCTCTCCCACTCCTCCATGATGACATCATGGAGCAGATGGATGTGAAGACACCTTGCGCTCCTCCACCTTCAGCTTGAGGATGGCCCACAGGTGCACAGGTGAGCTTAGGGCTGGATACATACTTGGCAGTCCATCACCTTCACCTTCAGCTTCGTCAGCAAGGCAGTTGTCATCTTCTAGGTGTGTTTTGGGTCATTATCATGTTGGAAAACTGCACTGCGGCTCAGTTTCTGAAGGGGGGCGATCATGCTCTGCTTGGAATTCATGTTTCCCTAAATGAACCAAGCTCCCCAGATCCGGCAGCACTCATGCAGCCCCAAACCATGATGCTGCCACCACTATACTTGACTGTAGGCAAGGGACAGTTGTCTTGGTGCTCTTCACCAAGGTGCCACACATGCTGAGGAAGGTAAATCTAAGCTGTACACTGACTACTTTAAGTTATATCAAAGTGTCATTTCTATAGTGTTGTCCCATGAAAAGATATAATGAAATATTTGCAAAAATGGGAGGGTTGTACTCACTTATGTGAGATACTGGAGGTATCAGTTGCTGGTGGCAGTAGCTCAGTCCGTAGGGACTTGTGTTGGGAACTGTCACCATCCCATCCGGACCAAATATGGAGCATGGACTGGTAGCTTGAGGGGTGCCAGTTCGCCTCCTGGGCACTCCTGAGGTGCCCTTGAGCAAGACACTGAATCCCCAACTGCTTGAGGCGCCTGTCCATGGGCAGCCCGCTCGGTTTGACATCTCTACCCTTAATACATGTATAGAAAAAATTGAATTTCACCTCAGGAATTTATAAAGTATATTTTCTTCTTTTTCTTCTGCTCTTTCCTCCTTACCATTCTTGCAATGCAGCGATAAAGCACTGGCACAAATACACTGTGAGCAATGGGTGACAAAATGCAAACCAAAATTCAGCCAAATCACATCTGTAAATTTAAAAGTTTGTCTTTTCAGTAAGACATCTCAACGTTTCCCTTCAGTTAAAAGTTGAATTTTTAACTTTATCAACATGTTTGTCTCACATTCATCTTCTCTATAGTGACAACATATTCATGATCTATATTTTCCCTTTGATTGCCAATTGATGGTCACTTATTTTAATGTAGTTTGATGTCAATGTAATTTGGAATAAAGGATTGTGAAAGGCTTGACAGACTTCCAAATAATTGAGGGCTTGGCATTGGGTTCTTTTGTCTTATAAGAATTATTATATTTTTAATTTCTGAGATGTACATTGAGCAGTGAGCTGCCGTTTCATCACAGTTCCTTCAGTTTGACTTTGGTTTTCTTTTCTTTTCCCCGACTTTTATATTTTATTTTGCTTCCAAGAACTCATTTTTCACATCTCCGAAATCCCAAATTTCCACTAGCCCCGTGTCCCTTCTTCCTACAATGTAAGATTTAGAAGTCTTTGCAGACATTTCAGTTTTTGAGGACCACTGGCTCCAGCGCTCACAGTCAGAAGAAAATGTCTTCAAGACTGGCATTTTCTTCCTTAAATCCCATGACATTTTTTCCAGTCCCTGAATGAGAGAATGAGCGCTTCTCAGAGAGGGGCCAACCAAATAAACCCCTCTTTGGGCCTGGAGCCACTAATCTGTAATTTAATTTCAGGCGGGTGTCTGGGCCATGAGGACACACAGCAAGGTCAAGGGCTACTGTACAGAGAGATCTGCGCATTTGGGCTCAGCCTGGGGTTTGATCAACAGTCTCATCCAGCTTAGGAAGAGGACACAGTATGTGCGCGTGCTCCTGTGCATGTGTGTGCTGGTGAGGTATTTCTGCACTACTTACACAAGTCAGACTTGATGCAAGGTAGCCGTTTCGCGTATGACAGCAACAAACAATCACGGGGAAAATCCATTATTCAAAACAAGTAAAATGTTTGGGATGACTGAGCATCTGCAAACAGAGAGGGATTAGCCCTAAAATAGGACTGCGTCTAGCGGGGAACAATTCAACATGTCAGTGTTGATCTGCATGTAAATGAAATATTTGTATTACTTTGACCATAATTCATGTTTTACTCATTATGTAAAAGAGTCTAGTCGGCAGATAAATCAACTAATGGAAAAGTGGAAGGATGAATTTGAGCAGCATGGCTAATCCTGTGGGTGAAGAAATGTCTGTAATAAACTCGACCTTGTTCTGCCTGAACGAGCACAAAGTGGCCCCGGAAATGGGACCAATAATTACCAATGGCCAGGCAGTTTCACCATGTCTCTTTAATGTAAATAGGCACTGGGTTATCTGACACAAATGGCTTTGGCATTCATACATGGACATATGGCACAGGGACTTACTCAAGTACCTAAAAAAATGCAATAAAACAACTGGTACAGCCCCGAGTCTGGAGGAGATAAAACATTGCACCCCAGCAGGAGAAAGTAGCTGAGATAGTGTGTGTTCATTAAAAACAATTTCTTACATATAAGGCTGTCAGGTCAGTGAGAAAATCAGGGTGTATCCCATGCACCATTTGCAGTTTGTTGGAGCTTAGCTGGCATTCAATTTCAATTCCCTCAAGTTACTGAATATAGGAGAGCGGCACACACTGACAGGTACAAGTTACTCCAGCGACAGACGCTAATTAGCAAGTGCAGGAGTAATGGGAGAGCCAAGCTCTCTCTCTGGCAGAGAGACAGTGATGGCAACTGAGGCAGGGTCATCTCTTTAAGTGTCTCACTTCCTATTAGACAGGAGATCTCTGGCACATGCCCCATCACAACCCATACAGAGTGATGTCAGCGACAGAGAAAGGATCCTGTCACATCCTGTAGTTTTCAAACAGAGCTTCTCTTTTGCATACTGCACGGAACCACCGGCTCAACTGCGTTCACTCACCGCCGCCGCCCTCCACTGACAGAAAAAGGGAGGTGAGGGCAATAGAAAATAATGGCACATGATGTGTTTGTGTTTTGATGGAAACTCGAGGGAAAGTCTTAGAAAGAAGATGATGGACTCATCTTCTGCTCAGTGAGGCTTTGACATTCTGTAGGGGACGCTGGAAATAGTCTCCAAGTTGATGGATAGGTGGAGTGGGATTACCCGCCAGACTCATCTCCTACCCGCCGTCTGGCCCCGACTCCTGGAAAAAGACACAAAAACACAATGCGTATAATGTCAGGCTGTTCACCGTGGGAGAGGTTATTACGCTTTGAAAAATAATGTAACACTGCAGGCTGGTCACAGTAACCAACAGCTAACCCAATAACTAAAGCAAGCAAAGGCACTCCCACTGGTAGCATCTGCTCTGACAGGCAGATTACTAATAATTCCCCACCATTATTTTTATAAGTTATAGTGAAAAAAAGGAAGAAAACAACAGACAAAGTGAATTTGGCGTTATTAAATAAACAGTCACACCAAGAGGAAGCTGCGTTTCCAAGGATGCTGCAACCTTCAAGTCTGTCTCCATCTTCACATCCTCCTCTCTGTATCACAAGTGTCTCTGTGAACTTCTAATGCTTCTCCTCACTCGTAGCCCCAGCGGACCACCCCACCGCTGGCACAGCGAAAGAAATTGTTCTCCCTGCATCATTAAACAGTTTGAATTAACTTGGGTGGAATTTAATTATGTCACACATGAAGCCCTCCTACTTGAAGCTTTTAAAAGCAATATAGTTGGCTATATGCTTGGAGGTTTGGCTTTTAGATACATTATTCAAGTCAGTCAGTTATATCTGCACACAACTGGACTTCTAAATGAAGACAGTGGACCTGCTCAACAGGGCAGATCTCTTCATTTGTGTTTCCTGGTCAGATATACAACATAAATACCCAGAGAGGAGCTAATAATCTGTGCAGTGGAGATTCTGCTCATGCTGTGTGTCCCATTTAGACTTCAGCAGTACTCCTGAGTCTACGTTTGATTTAGAAAAACTGTAAACCTGAACATCTCTGACTTATCACATGTATCCTCGTGTTTGAAGCACTCACTGTGTCTATCCTAATATTTCAACACAGGAAATAAAGAAAAGAAAAGTTCTGTTCGTGAGCTTCTCCTACCTCCTAATTGACACTCATTATCATGCCTTTATTACATTTTACACATGACAGGCTGGTGTGATGTGGATAAATCCTAAATGAAACCCTAAGGGCATTGCTAACAGCTTCAAAATGTCAAAGCCAAAACTGAAACAGTAATAAAGTCTGTCATTCTAAATGATAGGAGTCTTTGCAAATTGCGAAGCTCGCAGAAGAATATCTGTTTCGCAGAGCAGCGCTGCATCTGAGAGTGCAGCCTGGCTTCCATTTGCTCCCTGTCAGAGGGTAATCCGACTTGCCAACTTATCCATCACCCAAATGAACACAATTTTTCACACGTGCATTTTTCTCATCAGATTCAAATACCCCAACATGCCTCCAGAGAGATCTAAGGATGTGCGTTTCAAAGAGGAGTCATGCTAGCAGTTGAGTCTGGAGGTCAGAGGTGAAATGAAAGACCTTTACTGAGACACTGGATGGACATCTGTAGCGCAGTGATTTAGAAACTTAAAAAACAACAGGAACAACCACCCTGAAACGACTTCTTTTTTTTTTCGGGGATTGTTAACAGAGGCAATCAAAAAGTAAACTCCAGCTTAAGTGTTTAACGAACAGCTTCTCTCTGTCTGAGAATCCAAAGCAGCCGCGGCAGGGCAGAACCACTCCTGCACTCCACCAACACCTGAGACACAAGCTGATGGACAGATTCATTTACAGCAGGTACACGAGATTGCACACTAATTTACTCGGCCTATAGGAGATTGTTCACGTGAAAGATACAGCGGGCACAGTGGATTCAATCTAATGAACCGCTGTAGATCCACACTGTGCCCATTTCTTTCCTCATTTACATTGAAATGTAAGTGCCATATTTCATTCTCCCTGTCTGTAACACCATCCTCCCCTCTGTCTTTTTATATTCATATACTTGTGGAACATCACACCTAAAAACAGAGCTTTTTGAAACAGACAGAAACAACAACAATCAGAGTAACTATCAAAGACAAACAGCAGGCGTGGGACTGTGAAAGTAAATGTTTGGGACTAACCTTGGAGAAGAATTCAGGATAATGAGGAAGCAGCTAAACCTTGGTGATACTTAAAGATCATTACCAGATGATCAAACACACCATGACAATTTCTCTGTGCAAGGATGGATAATTATACCACTCATAGAGGGGTACAAAGATCTGCTTTTATGGATGCATTTACATTTCAACAAATGCCTTACACGCTTCAATATACAGTCGAGCGCTGAAATGGAAATACGATCCCGTGGGAACTGCACAACACAAATAGTGGGGTGTGGGATATATCTAAATAGCAGTTAGTATCTTCGGTGTGTGAAGAGATATAAGAGTCTATTATTATTAGGCTTAACCATGCATCAAAGAACATACTCTTCACGTATTCTGTGTGGTGTAGGCCCTCCAAATATGCCATCCAATAAAGGTAAGCACTGCATTGTCTCTCCCTTCCTCCGGCCCCCTCTTTTTCAAACAAGCTGTGAAGTCAGTGATGTTAGAAATTTGACATTAGAAAGTCTGACATTAGGCCATCTGATTTGTAAAATGTTGCTGATGACATACAGTATCACAGAAAAATATCTGAAGGCTTTTAATAATGCTTATTTTCAGTTTATGTCTTCTGAAGATGGGTTATTAAAGCAAGAGTTTGACATTTTGGGAAATATTCTTTCTTGCCAAGACTTAGATGTGAAGATACATTTTGAGGGTATCAATCTTCTCATCTATCTCTCATCAAGGAAACGTATGAATGTTTTCATCCAAACCGTACTCTTTTAAATATTAGCTTTAACATTTCTTTAGACTGATACATTTCATTAGGGTTACATGTGTCTCATTTTCCCTGCAGGATCTGGCAGACAGTTACTTAAAGCCACAGCTGGTGACTTCTTTCAAAAAATCTTTTTGTCATATTTGCGGAAACTGTCACTACATCCACACAGTAGTACATGAGACAGTTAACCTCCTCCTACTGCTTCTAATGGCATTTGCTAGAGTCTATAACCAATCAGAGCCGAGGATTCTCTAAAGCAGCGTTCAGTCACCTCAGTTGCTGCTTGTAAACTGCTGTCAAACTGTCAAACTAGGCAGTGCTAAACAAATATGAATCAAGATTGTGTTACTGCTAGGGCCGCCCCCTTACAGTTGACCAAACGTTAGTTGACCAGAAAGGTAATTAGTCAGCAAAATTACATTGGTTACTTAGTCACCCAAAAAATATAGAAATAAATAAATAAACAAACGTGAATCTCTATGATAAGCTGCGCCTAAAAAATCTAAAAAATCATAAATCAAAACCTATAAGACTGGACCATGTGGCAATTTAATTTGAAAGGACAGACACAGGAAGTGGCCACGCTCAGCAGTCAGACAGGAGTCACGTTACAAACCAATCACAGCCGACAGATATCTTTCCCTTCTTCTGCAAATATTCAGTCTGTTACAAACACAGAAATGTTAATCATTTTAGTGCAGGGCTACCCAGAGCTTTACATCTGTCTAACGGACGATAGGCCTTCACACTTATAAACAGCGCCTGAAAGAAGATCAGCTCGGTATTCAGGATTTCAGGTAAATTCGATGCTTGTTAAGGTTGCTTAATAACCTCAAATGCAAGCTGCTGCCGCGCTCTTGAAAGATGGCACAAAAAGGCACAAGAGTAGCACCAAGAGTCTGACCTTGGGTTTTCCAGGCGGTTAAACACAGCCCCTAATTTACAGGGCTGGTACATGCGGTTATTACACAGGCTAGTTAATAACATGTCGGGCAGGAAATCCAAAGTGTGGGATCATTTTGAGAAAGTGAAGGACGAACCCAAGGTGATATGTAAACTCGTCTTCATTGGTCGACTCCAAACATGACGTATCATCTGAAACATGTAAGTAGCTACATGCCCATTAGCCACTTAGCACAATCATTACTGCTTTGCTGACAGTGCAATTAACGTGTGACGCGCACTTGTAAATAAAATCTAGGCCTATATTAATGAAAGTTCATTAGTACGGTTTTGTTTTTCTCCAATGTAGCACATGTTAACAATGTTACTGATACTATTCTTTCTGAGACCTTGAACTCAAACCATTGTGTTGCCCTGCCCAAAATATATCATGTAATAATTAAAATAATATCGTAAACATGCCGGCGACTAGTCCACTAATGGCCCTAAATGTCGACTATTGGTCTACTAGTAAAATTCTTAGTCGGGGCAGCCCCAGTTACTGCATTACCTATTTCTTGCCTTAGTTGTTTTCAGAAACATATTGTAGTGAACTGTTTAGCTGTAAAATAAAATAGCTTGCACCAGCTGGTGGGCGGTGCTCTGTTACAGCTTGACTGTTTTCAAAATGGCAGCCGGGTCACAGACTCTCATTTTACAGCTAAACAATAAACTAAAATTTGTTTCTGAAAACAACTGAGGCAAGAAATAGGCAATGCCATGACAGAATCTTGATTCACATTTAATCAGCGCTACTGAGTTTGACATCTTGAACGCAATTCATGAGCCCTTACTGACATGATTGAGAGCTGCATTTGAGACTCCTTGTGCCATTAGAGGCATCAGGAGGAGGAACATGGTGTTTTTCACAGGTAATCTGTCTAATGTACTACTGTCAGGATATAGTGACAGTTTCAGCAAATATAACAAAAAGTTATTTTTATATAAGTTTTTAACAGAAAACGGTGTTGCAGAAACGTGTAGAAACCTCTTCAGGAGTAGTCCCTTTATGGGACTAGAAAAAAAGGTGCAATCGTCTGCCTCAGTGATAATTCACATAGGTCACAGCGTGTGATAATAATCACTATAATGATGCTGCAATGCAGCAGCTCTCGCTACAGGCCCCTCCACTTTGTCCCAATAACAATAAGCCAGAGTGAGGTGTCTGACAGGTCATTCTGTTACCACTCCACTATTATTCCAAAACAGCAGCATACATCACACTCTAAAAATCTCACACCTTTATCAACTCTGTCTCAATGGTCGAGGAACCCCACCCTCGACCTCTCTCCAGAAGCAGCCTGCAGCCCCCCCGGTGTTAATTATAAGACTTTTTCCCCCGGAGCCTGGGCGGAACGT